GCCTGGGGGGCCTTCCGCTCGGAGGGGGGGAAAAAGACTGTCCCCCCCCGGCGCCCTGGTGGAACGAGACATGCCAGTCAGCCACTGACTCCAGACGTTGTCTTCTTTTGCTTTTTAAAAAACAGCCTTCATTTCAGAATTATCTCGCCTTTAAAAAACAGGAGGTCGCTACTAGGAGGGTGTTGAGGGCGGAGAAGAGGAAGGGCTTGAGGGAATTCTGTAGTAGGCTTAACCCCAGAACCCCTGTCTCTTATTTATGGAAATTTATTAAACGATTCAGATCTCGCCACATTGAATCCTGTACCTTGCCTTCCTCCAATTCTGCTCACTTGTCAGCTATCCAAAGCACTATAGACTCTCTCTGCCCTCCGTCCGTCCTTAACCGTGCCTATTCATCTCTCGATGACTTTTCGCTGAATTACTCTTGCAAAATGTTCGACAATCCCTTTACTATTCAAGAACTAACCTCATCCATACGTAATTTAAAAATCAACTCGTCACCTGGATACGACAAAATAGATAACAGAATGATCTCTCTCCTACCGATGGAATATCTCCAATATTTGCTTGACATCTTTAATTCGATATTCGAAACGGGCTCCTTTCCAGATGCCTGGCGACACTCACTTGTATTCTTAATACCTAAAGCATCGCCTGGTAAATTTCGACCTATTTCCTTGACCTCGTGTCTCCTCAAAGTATTTGAGAGGATTATCCTGTACAGGCTCGGTTGGTGGATAGAGTCGTCCTTTATTCTCCCTCCCTATCAATATGGATTTCGAAAAAGAGCCTCATGCTTCGATAACCTGGGTATACTATCCACGGAAATCCACCAGGGATTCATTCTGAAACAGGCGACGAGCGTATTGTTTCTTGATGTACAGGGCGCATTTGATAACGTTAATCCTTCCATCCTGGTTTCCCATCTTATTGACGTAGGCCTTCCGCCAATTTTGTTGGTTCATTTACCAATTGACTAGTCTCAGGGAGTTGCAATTCGTTGTTAACGGAAGTCTAATGGAGCGCCTTTTATCATGTAAAGGAGTTCCGCAGGGATCGATCTTGAGCCCAATTCTATTTAACCTCTATTTATCAAATTGTGGATCCGCTCTGACTCGGGGGTGCCAGATAGTTCAGTTTGCGGATGACATCGCTCTGTTCGTCCGCTCTGATGAGGTTGCGTCTTCCTTGTTAACTTTGGAGCGGTTGGCGACAATGCTATCGCTTTTTTTATTGGAGAGAGGCCTGGAGATTTCTCCCTCTAAGTCTTCCCTCGTGATCTTCACAAATAAGAGAAACATCCCGGCGAACAGTTCTGTCCGCCTGAGTGATGTCGATATCTACCCGGTACCGTCTGCCAGATTTTTGGGAGATCTCTTGGACGCGCGCCTCACTGGAGCCCTGAACGCCAAACAAGTTATTAATAAGTGTAATAAGCTCTCTAACATTATCAGATTCTTGAGGGGAGTTTGGTGGGGGTCTGATCCGAGGACTCTGTTGGGCATATACAAGGCCTTAATTAGAGGTTCTTCGGATTATGCATCCTTCCTCTTTCCATATCATAACAAGATCCTCGTAGAGGGCTTTGAAAGAGCGTCTCGCAAGGCCTTAAGACTTTGCATCGGCCTAAGAAACTCTACTCCTTGCAGCATAGTGTACGCCGAATCGGGGGTTGGACCAAGCCGATTTAGATCTGATTATTTGGCGCGGAAATTCTTGATCAAGTCCTTCGCCGTTAGGCCAAGTATTCTGGTCGATAAGCTTCAGGACCTGCATTTCCATCACTTTAGATCTGGCTTTCGTACCAATCTTCTCAAAAGATTCCCTCTGTACCGAGCTTTTCGGTCAGTGAAGGATCACAGATCTGGAATTGCGTCCTTTACAAGGATTCCGCTGTATCTGTTTTCCTATGATACTTCAACCTTTACCCCAGAAACTGACTATACTCCACCTTTTGTTGTGGAGAACATCGCTTCTGCTCCTATTCCTCAGCTTGTTTTTCAATCGCATTATTCGTGTATTATCGAGGACAGATGTACTTTTTTCACAGATGCATCCAAATCTAACGCGCTCCCGCACTTAGGCGCTGCTTTCTATTCTCCTGATATAAATATACAGCGAAAATATAAGCTGAATGGCTGCTTTTCAATTTTCTCAGCGGAATGTATAGCCATCATATATACATTGGATTGCATCTTGGAAAGAGGCATTAAAAGGTCTGTGATATTCACCGACGCCCGCAGTGTTGTGGAGACTCTGTCCAATAATTCGCTGGACAGAGATCTTTCATATCTTATACTCGCATTGAAAAACAAATTGAGATCGGCCTCCATACAGAACCTAAAAGTCATCATTATCTGGGTTCCATCTCATTCTGGTATCCTGGGAAACGAAACAGCGGACTTTCTGGCTGGCGAAGCCGCTCGAGAAGGTGAGGGAATAGACTATCTCCCTCCCCATACTGACTTTTACTCAATTTTTAAGGAAGAATGCTTTTCAGAAATCGAAAAGTATTTGCTTGCACAGTCAGAAAATAAAGGCACGCAGTATTTTACTATGTATCCAACGTTTTCGAGAAAACCCTGGTTTCAGAAGCTGGACCTTAGCAGAATGGAAATTACTACTATCACCAGAATTAGATCTAATCATTATAATTTAAATTACAGCCTTCATAGATGTGGCCTCTCCCAGCATCCTCAATGTTTATGTGGATCGTCTCGTCAAGATATTAACCACGTCTTATGGTTCTGTCCACTGTATGAGTGTCACCGTGTCCGTCTGCGACAGTCTCTTGGAAGGATCCTGGGTTCGCCTCCGCCTCTTGACGTGTTTACATTACTAAAGTATCCTACCCTGGAAATCATTAACCCTATCTTGTCCTTTATCCGCAAGACTGGCCTGTCTATATAGTGCCAATGATTAATTTCTGACCGACGGATTTCTGCATACTGCCAGTTCGAGTTTTGAAAACAACGCTGTCATCTGGCAGCATGGGCAAAGAGTAAAATGCCCAGTGCCACAAATTGAAGAAGAAGAAGATAAAGCGCTCGCGGAGTTGAAACTTTCGGCAAACAAAGCCGCCAAATATCTCGCTTCCAAAGGCCTTACTGTTTCTCCTTCGAAAACCTCTTTAATGATCTTCACCAAGAAACATATAAACCTTTTGCCTTTTCTATATCTCGCAAACTCCACTGTCCATTCAACCGACTTTTATAAATTCCTCGGAATCTCCCTTGATTACCGCCTTTCTGGCAATAACTACATCCGCACTCTGTCCACCCGCTGCTCAATGCTTCTTAATATTCTCAATATGTTGAGGGGCACCTGGTGGGGAGGAGCGCCTTCTTCTCTCCTGAATATCTATAGAGCTTTGATAAGATGGTTATTAAAAGGAAAAGTGAGACAACCATACTCTATGGAGTATGGCTGTCTCACTTTTCCTTTTAATAACCACTCTTCCATGTGGCACCTTGAAAACATCCAACTACGAGCTCTCCGCACCTGCTTAGGTCTACGCAAAACTACTCCTCCGAACGTCGTTCTCGCGGAAGCCGGGGAGGGCACCCTGAGATTTGAACTTCTCACCTCTAAATATATTCTAAAAATTTTTGCTTTGGACTCCCATTCGCTCATAGACAAACTTTTCTCACTTCTCTGGTATTCACGCAGATCTCGAAAGACTAACCCCTCCGAAAAATTCAAAGCTTTTAGCTCTCTCCTTCGCCTAAAATACTATATCTCGAAATTCGACTACCCGGCTGTTTACTTCATAGACTACAAAGCTCTTATTTTCCTCCCTTCAATTGTTATTACGCCTTCAATCGAAGCAGAAAGAATTAAGAACGCTCCTATTCCTCATATTACTTTCATGGAAATTTATGAGTCTCTGATTGCTTCCTGCACATGCTTCTACACCGACGCTTCCAAAAATAAATCCGATGATTATGTTGGATTTGCCATATACTCCCCCTCCCCTCACCTACAGTTATTATTTAAAACTCAGCCTTATTCATTTCTTTCGGTCAATCTGGCTCATTCGTACAACTACATCATCTTCGCCATCAAGCAAAAGCTCTACGACATCAAGCAGATTGGCCTCGAAAACATCATCGTTTGAATTCCGGCTTACACGGGCATTCTGGGGAATGAAACCGCTGATTATTTGGCAAAAACAGCCATCTCTGCAGGAAAACTAACCGAGAGACAACTCCCTCTGATTTCTTCTCGATTCCTCGAAGAAAATATATCGAAAGTTCCTCTCGACTATTTAAAATACAAGGTAGATACAAAGGGACAAGGTATTTTACCTCTTTCAACGAGATCATGCCAAAACCTTGGTTTCATAAGTTTAAGTCTAACAGAGAAAGCATTGTAACTTGTTGCAGAATCAGAAGTGGTCACTACGCCCTTAATTACAGTCTTAAACGCTGTAATTTGGTTGCAGATTCCTCTTGCCAATGCGGTTTCCTCACTCAAGATGCAGATCACATTTTCTGGAACTGCCCTTTATTGCACAGAGGACAACGCTCTTAAAACATCTATCAAGATTCAAGGAGATAACACGACCTTATCAGATTCAGGAAATTCTAGCTAAGCCCTTCTCCGGGGTTATCCACGTATTACTCTCCTTCTTAAAATCCTGCAACCTCCAACTCTGAACGTAACAATTTCTTAAAACATCACCTTTCAATCCACTAAATTATCCACTCGCTCAAACCCGTTGTTGGCCCGAATACACTGAGCACTTCTAGATCAGAGGTGGCCATTTAAATTCAAAGAAGAAGAAGACCTCTCAGTCTTCTCTCTGATATATTACTCTCTGAGAACATTTGTGGACATTGGCTTTGTAGTTCATATCCATGTTTCCAATGTCCATAGAGGAAGTATCGTTTTCAGGAATCACCTAAAAGCAGGCCATGACATCTCTCAGTCTTCTCTCTGTTACAGCTATACAAACGACATCTGCTATTTGCGATACGTAACTTAAAGGGAAAAAAAAGTTCCATTCAAGTTCTGTTATCACACGTCTACCAATTTTCATAGGTCTGTTTTTGTAAAAACGTAATTCTATAATCCATCGATCTTGTTATCATTTGAGGCTGAGATGGGCTGGAAAAATTTTAACGCGATTCATTATTATTTATTAGAACATAAACAAACGGGACACAACCGATTAAGCTCCATGATTCTTATGATCAGCTGATGCTTTCAGTTTTACGAGCGTCGCCAGCAGCTTGAATGTAAATTTCATACGTTTTATGTAATATGTTTATAAAAGAGATTTCGATGACTCATTTTAGTTTGCGAACGATCCCACAATTAAACAATCGTATTTTCGTCTACGCAAAGTATAGAGTGGAAGAGTCAACATTAGATGAACGGTATATTCGGCAATAATGTTGTTATGCGTTATACTATGAAGGCAACATTTGTTATTGCGACATTGGTACGAATACAAGGTTATAATTCTATTCTGTGCGGCTAAAGAGCCCAAGAAATCATTTCGAGAATAATAGTTTTGTCGAGTTTCGCGCACATACGTAGTGAGAATTCTGTTAAACTTTCAGATAACCTGCGTATTAGCATTAGAAGAGGAATTATTGCATTATGTTAGTGACGATGTACCTGGTGGCTCTTACAAATATTACAGCTTGACATACGACGGTTATATCAAAATACGATTAACATCGATGTATGTAAGAGCTTAATTATATCACAATTGTTGATGTTTTTTTGCATTCTTGTTCAACATTTTTAATCATTTTATATATTCATTAAATGGATATTTTTATCTCTCTTCCATTAACTTTGCATGTTTTATATATCGTGTGACTTTATACTCTTTAGAACAGGTGATGCAGATTTATATGCATCGCAAACTACAACTAAACCAACGTATGAACCGGATCATTATTGTTTGCAATCGACAACTTGTGGAGAAGATATTATTTTCATCCCTAAAAGGTATTATAATAATATTAGATACTATATACTTAGAAATTTGCTTAAATATTTCATAATATATTGCGTATCTTCAGTTTTAAACGACCTGTGAGTATCGGCGTTTATGGCCATCCGTCGCATGAAATTAGTAAATATACTCTATTGGTTTCTGAGTTACTGATTGAAGACGATAATATACTATACGATCAAACATCAAGAAATAATTATAAAGATCGAGATAATAAAGTAAACAACTGCATATTAATTATTACTTTTATTTTTTTATATCACATAGAATATGTATGTATTTTGGTTAGTTTATATAAATATCTTATTCTAGAGAGTCCACATCTCATTTTTTGCCAATCTGATATGGTATTTCATGGATTTCTTGTTTCAACTATTATTTTAAATATTAAAAAGATCAAGAAACTTACAAATTAAATTGAGAATATATCGATAAATATGTTGGAATATGAAAATCAAATCTTTCTTGAAATCATCCAAGAGGATGGATTAGTTATTACAGCTAAGTAAGTATCATCATTTTGCTTTTGCTGTCATATATCAAAGAACTTGTTTAATCATTTAATGGAAAATAAATATTTATAGGGGTCTTGGTATAGAAACTGTTTTTGTTAATGTAATAAAAGCTTATTTGGATCCAGGCAACTTAGTTATAATCTTAGGAACCACTGATCATGATGAGCATTACTTCATTGAATTGCTTAAAAGTTATGGAACTAACACATTGCCACGTGTTGTCAATGCTGAATGTCCTTCTAATGAAAGGTATATTAAGAAAATATTTTATTTTTCTTTTGCTTTATACATGCATTTAATAAAATTTATTATCAAACTTGATAGGGAAATAATGTATCTGGAAGGTGGAGTGTTGTTTATATCAGGCCGTATCTTGGTGGTAGATTTATTAAAGAACAGAGTTCCATTGCACTTAATCACTGGCATTCTTGTGTACAGAGCTCATAATATTCGGAATGCATATCAAGAAGCATTTGCATTACGTTTGTATAGGCAAAATAATAAGACTGGATTTATTAAGGCGTTTACAAATTCGGCACTGGCTTTCACAGTTGGATATTCACAAGTAGAGCGAGTTATGAAAACCCTATTTGTGAAAAATTTATATTTATGGCCACGCTTTCATACAGTTGTTAATAATTGTTTGTCTAAGCACGAGCCTGATGTTATAGAATTACATGTACAAATCACACCAAAGATGCAAAATATTCAAACAGCTTTGCTTGATGTTATGAATTATATTGTGAAAGAATTAAAAGCGCTCAATAAATATTTAGACTTAGAAGAATTAACTGTGGAAAATGCAATAGCAAAGAAGTTCCACAAGCAATTACATTTACAACTAGATCCTATCTGGCATCAACTTAGTACAACAACCAAACAATTGTTTTCTGATTTAAAAATATTGCGATCTCTTATTATATCTTTGACCTATGAAGATTCAGTTTCATTCTATGCTATGTTGAATCGTTTGCGGACTATGGAATATGCCGTGAAAGCCAGTGGCTGGATAATGTTGGATGAAGTTGACAATTTATTTAAATATGCTAGAAGTAGAGTTTATACAGATAAAAATGAACTAAAACCAGAACCAAATCCAAAATGGATAGCTTTGTCAGAAGTTTTATCCGAGATTCAAGAGCAGAAACATAAAAAGAAGGCCAATGAAAAGGTTGATAAAGTTCTTATCTTAGTACATGATAACAATATATGCAAACAGTTGAAGAATTATTTAACTATGGGTGCAAATAAGTACCTATTTTATGAAGCTCTAAAAAAATTGTCGCATAATAAAGAACAAAAGATAAGTGACAATAATGAAAAAAATATGGAAGAGGAACAATCTGAAAATAATACGGATGAAGATGTGCAAAATGATCCAGACACTTATGTACTTACTTTGACGCAAAAATGTGCAGAAGAAACTGAGCCAAGTACTTCTACAGAAGATATAAAGCATCAGACATTATTTGAAGAATGCTCGCAAGTAATTTAATTAAATGAAATATGTATAATTTAATAAAATAAAATACATATATTGTAATATATGTGTATATATACAGGTTGTCTGAAAAATCGCCCGCAGTACTTCAAGAAGTGATTCGGGATCCAAAAACAAGAAAAAAAGCTTATAAACATGGGGTTGGAAATAAATCGTTTCCAAGTTATAGCCACTTTTATGTTAAAAAATTGTAATTTATAATCCGTTTGGTATTCCTCTTTTAAATTTTTTTTTAATTAAAATTTTTTTTAAATTTAAAAATTTAAATTTTTAAGTTTAAAATTTAAAAATTTGAATTTAAATTTTAAATTTAAATTTTTAAATTCAAATTTTTAAATTTAAAATTAAAATTAAAATTTTTAAATTCAAATTTTTAAATTTAAAATTAAAATTTAAATATTTAAATTTAAAAATTTGAATTTAAAAATTTAAATTTAAATTTAAATTTTAAATTTAAAAACAATTTTAAAGAGGAATGCCAAACGGACTATAAATTACAATTTTTTAACATAAAAATGGTTATAACTCGGAAATGACTTATTTCCGGACCTATGTTTATAATTTTTTTTCCTTGTTTTTGGATCCTGAATCAAAGTACTTCGGGCAATTTTTCAAACACCCTGTATAAGCTTATATTTATAGAAAATGTTATTCTACATAAATTGTTCTATAATTTTAAAGCTGACAGATTTAAATGTAACCAATTGCGCGACATCTGCACCAATTGTTTTCATACAAGCTATAAAAAAGGGAGGAGATTCGATGACTTTACAACGAGCATTGGCTGAACATACGCCGAACAATATTATTTTATACGTAGCTGATATTGGTACTGTGAGACAATTAGAGGTGTATCAAAATAATAATCCATTATTAGATTTGAAAGTGTATTTTTTGATTTATGGCGGATCCGTCGAGGAACAAGAATATCTTACCTCCTTACGACGCGAAAAGGAAGCATTTCATTCTTTGATTAATACGAAAACTGTAAGTGTTAAATAGTTCAATAAATACAATATAATATTGAGCAATTACATTATAATTTTTATTTCTTTCATAGACCATGATTGTGCCAGAAGATCAAGATGGAAAATCAGAAGATTGTCTGACTTTTGCAGTTCAATCAGATAATCAAGAAAATACACGTAAAGGTGGAATGCAATCTGAAGCAAAAATAATTCAAAAAGTTATTGTTGATATGAGAGAATTTAGAAGTGAATTGCCTGCTATTTTGTATACACGCAGTATAAAAGTTGAACCAGTGACATTAGTGGTAAGTGAGATATAGTGAGAAGTTTATCAATACAAGTTGATTGTTATTTCTAATTATATGATTTATAATGTTACTATAGGTGGGTGACTATATTCTTACACCTGAAATTTGTGTTGAGAGGAAAAGCATATCTGATTTGATTGGTTCCTTGTTTTCCGGAAGATTGTACAATCAAGCAGTTGCTATGACAAGACATTATGCTAAACCTATGCTCCTCATAGAATTTGATCAAAATAAACCATTCTGTTTCCAAGTATATATAGGCAATTTTATAAAAATGATACAAAAGTACATTTTTTTTTTTTTTTAAACACAATAATTATAAATCTATTATTCCAGGGAAATTATTATGTTAGCAGAGATCTTAAAAATACTGAAATAACAGCAAAGCTGCAATTATTAACACTTCATTTTCCTAAATTAAAACTTATATGGTCTCCTAGTCCACATGCAACAGCACAATTATTTGAAGAATTAAAGGTAATGTGTAAATTTAAAATAAAATTACTAATTTTGATAATTAATGGTATTTAATTTGTATATATTGTAGCAAGGACGAGATCAACCTGATTCAAATGTAGCTGCTAAAATTGGAGCAGATGAAGATACAGAAAACAAACAACTAATGGTAGAAAGATATAATTCTAATATTCAAGATTTTATGGCTAAATTACCTGGTGTGCATTCGAAAAATTTACGTGTTCTATTAAATAAAGGACAATCATTAAGTCATCTCATCAAGTTCACACAAGTAAGTGAATAATAATTAGGGTTATCTTTTTTCAATTATTTTCTAGAATTTTTTTTTCTTTTTTTTTTAAATATGATTTTTATTATACTGTGGCAACTTGTGTGCAAATGTTTAAAAAATTATTATAAATTTTTTATGTATAATTAGGAAGAATTAAAAGAAATACTTGGGAATACAAATGATGCTGAATTGTTATATAAAGCTTTACATGAGAAATGTTTACCAACAGATGAAAAGTTATTGACTAGCAAAGGTACTTCTAAAGTACGTGGTAAAAAGCTTTTCTCCAAAATAAAAAAGTGATAATGAATAATGTGTAGCTATAAACATTTGTTAGAGAAAGATTTTCAAGTATTGAAAATGGATAAATATTACAGCATCAGTGACAACTGTGTATTTTGAATTCATAAATGTGTTTCTCATAAAATATAAAATATGCTAATATTGTGTTTTTAATATAATTAAAAAATAATACATTAAAAATGCAATATAAATAAATTTATTATATAATAACAGCAAGAGAGTATACAACAAAATTCTTTTAGTACATATATATAACATTTTTCACAAACTGATAGTGAACTGATTATTTATGAGTTAGTAGAACTTCAAATTATCTCAAGAGAGAAATTATTTTAAAAGAAAACATTATAAATTAGACCTGAAATTTTTTAAATATATATACTTTATTTGCCTAATTTCTTTTTAATATCAAGGATATTTTTTTAAATATTACTCACATTGCTTCAGTAAGACTCTCAGAATCATTTTCTTCATCGCTCTTACTAGTTGCATCGAGATTGTATAAAAATGAATCATTTTCTGACATAGGAAAATAATATCTGTGTAAAATAAAACATATTTAATATAATTTCTCTTTTCAATTTTATAGAGTAAACAAATTCTGTACGATCTTAATTATTCTTACTCTGGTTGATTCCAGACTTTCTCTGCAGGAATTTTACAATGTTGTTGAGTCTTCATGTGTTCTAAGACATTATCTGATTTTGCTTCACAGAAAATACATTGTTCTAATTGAATTTGTCTCTTTATATAATTAACTACTTTTACCTGTATAATAACAATTACGGATTAGAAGAACATATTGTTAAAAATATAAAATTAATTACACAGAATAGTAACCTTTTGATAAAAAGTCAAATCTTTGACTGTTTCTTCAAAATCGAAATTATGAACTTCTTTCATATGTCTTAAGGTATAGACAAATTCATTATTGCCATAATTACATAATAAACATATTATTTCAATAGATTCGCCACTCCAATCAGACCATGAAGTTTCCTCATCTTCATTTTCACTACTACTATCTCCTAGATCCAGATTCTTTCCTGAATTTGGCTATAAACATTAAAAAAATTATATTTTTAAAAACTTGGAACATTTTACTCTTTAAATTATAGACAATTTTCATTACCTGTCCTTGCTTCCAGATTATTCCTGACTCTAAATAATTGTTTATATAAAATTTATCATACATTTTATTATGAGGATTTATGCACTTGTGGAATTTTTTTCGCATATGCTCCTTTAATACCGTACGATCTTTAAATATTTTCTCACAATAAATACATATTAAACTAAAAAATAAATATAAATACTATAACATTGTATATTTTCATAAATACCATGTAAAAGTAAATCAAAATAGCATATAAATATCATTAAAATAATGCATAGATTGCAATTTTTGAATTGTATACTTTTCAATATTATTCTGAATTTTGTCCAAAAGCTCATCGACGAATACTAAATTTTCTGGTTTGCCAAGATAAAGATTGTGCTTTTGAAAAAGATGTTTTATATATGTAATACGTGATCCACAGAATTCTGTACGGCAAAACATGCAACCACGCTTAAAACTTTTATCCGCACGCTCATCTTCTTGTTGCGCTAATGCCAATTCCTTAAAATAACAATTATATATCGTCACTAAATTACATGTCAAATATACAACAAATATGTATATTATAATCTTTCTGATATGCATACTAATTTAGCCTGATGTATTTCATTTCTCAAAGTTTTGTCCTCTGACAAACAGTCAGAGAGCAAAAAATAATGTTCATTTTTACTTGGCTGACCATCTGGTGTACAATTCATTAACAATGTTGTACAATAAGCTGTCAATGGTGCCTCCTTAAACTTTACACTCCAGTAATGTATATAACTGAAATTTAATCAAAATTATATTTAACTGTTAAAATAATATAGACATAAGTAACACGATAAATAAAAATCATCATCGTACCTTTTCAAACTAGCTATTTTCGTAACATCCGCTATAACGAGACGATGCGACTTGAATAAATGTGTGAGAAAGTCAGTTTCATTTGTCGGAAGGACAAATATGCAATCGCATAACAGGCATTTTGTATCGCACGGTTTATCATCCAGACCAACAAATTGAGATTTATACATTGTGTATAAAGTATAATATATTAATATCAAAATTTAATAGAAGTTTCTGTATTACGATTTATATTCTGTCAAAATTTGCAAACACTATTTTGCCGCAAAAAATCTTGCTGACAATAAATTATTCTCAAATTATACTTTAACAATAAATTTCACTTTCTAATATCGAGAAATATATGCATTTTGCAGATTTGAGGTTGGACACGAAATCTTATTAAATTTATATATTCTGTGTCATTAATAGATCTCGTAAACATAATCAAACATTACATAGGCCGGTATTCATAGTCCGATCTTATATTTGAGATCGTCTTAAGTTCGAGCTTGAAATGCTACGCAGCTATTTGATTGGTTGAAGGAAGTCTTAAGTCAACCTCGGACCAGACTTAAGACGATCTTAAATATAAGATCGGACTATGAATACCGGCCATACAATCGCGATATACACAATAAAATACACCAATTTTTATACGTTTATTTTGCGAAGCAAAGTTATCTATGACCGTTCACAATTAGCTGTTCACGATGATGCGCGAACATTGGCGCACAAAATTTTTCTTACTTTATGTCCGTTTGATCGAAACGAAAAAATCGCATTTATAGCTTTTTCTTCATCTTGTATATTTTTTCATTTCAAACGCTATTAATATCTGTAATTTTTGAAATTTACCAAATATGACATTGTCATATGATAATGTAAATTACAAACTGTCTGCCGTCAAGGACAAGTGGAACAATCCTGCACTGTTCGTACAGTCCTGTAGTCGCAATTGTCGCAAGTGACGTGTAATCGTATCGTATCGTTACGTTCGTGTATCTTGTCCTTTCTTTTGTTCGCGTATAGAATGAATATCCTTTGCGTTATATGTCACGATGTTTTACTGCCATCCGAAGATATCGTTTTCTCTCGTTGCGGACATGTATTTCATTTTAGCTGTTTGTCACGATGGCTTGAAAGGTAAACATATTTGATGGTTATGTTTTCAGGCGAGATAAATTAGCTCTCAATTTTAATTGCACCTCCTACACTTTGTATCTTTTCTTTCCATCTCTTTCCGAAGCCTAAATATATTTTTTATCTCATTTTAAACGCAAAAAAATATATAAGTAAAATAAAGGCTTGTTAGTTTATGAGATTTTAATTTCTTTAGTTTCTTGTTTTTTTTTGGATTCCGTTTTTAAAAAGAGGTAGAAAACCAGTAGTTTAAAATATAAACTAATATTAACTAATTTTCTTTTTCATGCTCCAGATCCAAGACTTGTCCGCAATGTCGTGAGAAAGTGACGGAAAATAAAATCTATAGAGTTTATTTTACATTTCCGAATAGCGAAACCGCCTCGGATAATGCAGACAATTCGTTGTTACAAGGAAGGATTGACAGTTTGCAATTTCAAATTTTAGTGAAGGATAAGAATATCAAATATCATCTCTCAAAGATTGCCACTCTGGAAAAACAAAATGCTGGCCTTAGGCAGGAAGTACGCAAAGTAGAAAGTGAAATCAATCAGAAAAAATCTACTATTCATGCCTTAAATGAGCAAATAATATATTTTAAGGAAAAGTATGAGAAATATAAAGTTCTAGCACAGGAACTGTCTCAAAAAGAAAAAGAATTGGAACAAATCCATTAGTATGTCTGTTTATGTTAATTGTTTACACAATAGTTTTAACATGATGAAATATTTATAATTTACTGCTCAAACTAATTTTTATCATGCCTTTTTTCAGTATGCAAAATACATTTTCAAAGGGTTCGTTGGAAGATATTAGAAGAGTGATTGAGAAAACAAAAGATGCACATCAAGATGCTTTAGTTACTTGCATTTCTGCTATGAGAAAGTATGTCTTATGTTCATATTCTTGATTTTAATATCATAGTATTTATTTGTTTTTTATCTTAAATTATTGCCAAAGTCAGGTCAAACCAAAACTCTCCAAGATCAAGTTACAATGCAATGTAAGTTTTCTGTTGAACAATTATCTAAGAGAATATATGTATTTTTAATTATGACCTAAATTTTCATTCAACAAAAGAATTATGCTGCATTGTAAGCATTGCCTTTAGAAATTTATAATTTTATCTTATATATAATAATTATATAAACATCTATAACATAAGAATTTATAATGTTTATATCATATTATATTGTATATGTTCATATTTTTTATTTAGGGAGTTTGAAGAACGTTTAGAGCTTTGCAAAAGTGAAAATTTATCCTTACAACATCGAGTTAATAAACTAGAAACCATCCTTTCAAGACAAAACTACATTAAATCTGGCAATCAAAGAAACTTGGATAAAAATTCTCCCAATATTATACAAAAAGAAGACGTTTATAGCAAGGTAATTAGTTTAATTATAGAATCTATTACAATAGACATTAGTTCTATTTATGTTAATAAAATGTGTTAATTTACAAAATATTTTAGAAATAAGATACTCCTAAATAAGAAGAGAGAGAGAGAGAGAGAGAGAGAGAGAAAGTATTATAATTTTGACATAATAATAGATGTAATATAGTTTATAATTTAATTTTTATTTTATTAAAAGGTTATGAATATCTTGATGTCGCTAGTCAAATAAAGGGATCAAAGAAATATAATCGACCAAACTAGCCAGAAATTGATTTATTAGTACGACGTTTCGACCATATGGTTGTGGTCCTTATCAAGTATACACGATGTAATAAAAATCAGGAGACCGGCATGGATGATAATCTTGTAAATTGCACAAGTCACATTAAACAAAAACGTTATTTTAACTAAATTTGAATGCGAGAGAAATTAATGCGTCTGTGAGAGACTTCGTCAAGAGACTGTCTCTTGACAAAGTCTCTCACAGACGCATTAATTTCTCTCGCATTCAAATTTAGTTAAAATAACGTTTTTGTTTAATGTGACTTGTGCAATTTACAAGATTATCATCCATGCCGGTCTCCTGATTTTTATTACATCGTGTATACTTGATAAGGACCACAACCATATGGTCGAAACGTCGTACTAATAAATCAATTTCTGGCTAGTTTGGTCGATTATATTTCTTTGATCCTTTTATTTTATTAATTTTATAATTTTTTATTTATTATTAGACAAACACAAAACGGAAAACAGAAAATCAAAATATTTCATCATCTCCAACGATAAAAACTGATGCTAAGATGAACCAGGAAGGCTTAAGCACTACATCTAAATATTCAACTATTAAAAAACGAGCGAAACTACGTTCGCGACCAGCACAACTACTTTTGCAACCAGGTAACAATAACAATAAAACAAATTGTGCGATTATCGATACAATTAAGAAAAATATTAAAAATGTTACAGAAATAAGTATACCATCAAATGAAAAAAAATTGCCAAAACTGGAGAATCTTTAGTAATATTATTAAACTTAAACTTTTTTTTTAGCATTTTTTTTTGTAAAAATCAATTCATTGAAATTTATTTATAGTGTTCATTTACATAATATCTGTTACATTTGTACAAAATGATATAATTCTGCTTCCATATTGATTTTTATATTTTGTTGAAATCTATATATATATATAAATTTATGAGATAGACATTGTGGAGTTTGAATAAATAACTTTAAAATCTTGTATCTTTGATAAAATAATAAAGACATATAATCATGCAAGTGCTACTTTTTCAAAAATATGTAATATATTAAAATTTGTGTTAAAAAAAATAATATACAAAATACTTTTTGTTTCTATATCATTAGCTTTATATTGTAATATGCTGTATTAGGAGTAGGTTAAGTAATATATAACAAAGTATATATGATGTATGCAAGTTAATTGAAAAGCTATTTTTTTAATAGAGGATATATTTTACATTTGCACCTATAGATATCTACCTCAAGAAAAAGTAAGAGCTACACGCGGTTTCTTAACATAGCGTATAATTTAAAATCACTTGCAATTCTATCATCAGATTTCAATGTATCCATCTTTTCATTAATCTATTTAACTTACTGTGTGCCAAATATAGATATAATAATACGGTAAAAAAATAAATAATAAAAAACAATATAAAATAGAACAGAAACTTATTAAATTAACAGAGTAGCTTATTAATTAATTTTCCTATTGAGGAACTAAGCAACAATCATTTTATTGTGTATTTGTATAAATTTTATTCAGTAATCGTATCATGTAGGCGCTACATCGTTTTCGTATGAAGAGATAGACAAAGGAAGAATTCTGAAATTCATATATGTATATATACACAGGATATTTCACGGACATGTATGTGTGACTTGCTTATTTCAATGTTACAAAACGCATTGGTTCTTATTAAAAGCAGTCATCAGTTTTAACGATTGGATTGTTAATTGGAATACTCTTTTATTCCAGAAACTGAAAAATAAGTACTTTGTATATAAGACTAGTTTTGTAGACTTCGTTTCTCTACTCTTTCGTATTCTGCAAATGCGGTCAATTCGTCAAAATCGTTATTTAAAGCGTCATCTAATGCGTCGATACTTTTATACTCGTTTACATATATATTATTAGTTTTTTGTTTAGTAGCATATTGTATCTTAAGCGTTAATACGAATGTACAAAAACACACTTTGGCTCTTCAACTAAGCTAAACTTGTAATATATTAAAAAATTGATTTAATTGCAATCATCTTATACTATTACAATTAACTAGTTCAGGCTTGGTCAATGGTACGGTAACCTGCATTTTTTGCGTACGATCTATGATATAAACATCTGAGTGAATAATATTGTGAGATGATAAAATTGATTTTCGATATAATTACCAGATATAATTGTTTTAAATATGTACAGACGAGTATATGCTCTCTTAAAATTAAATTAAATTAAATTTTAAGCGTTAAAATTACAAGATAGAGATAAACTATTGCATATTTCATTTAATTCTCGTAATGATAATTATACAAATATAACGATAACAATAAATAAAAAGATGTAATAAAAAACGGGGATACTTATTTCTGAATAGTTATTTATATGGATGTATATTTAACAAATTATAAAAATCTGATTACACATTGCAAATTGCAGATTAATAAAATAACAAAATCATTGCATGTTTTCGCGATTACAAATATTATTCTAAGAATAATTATAAAACTTATATCGTGTGAGAAAATCTCTATGAGATTTATGTAATGATTCGTCGACTTCATCATGTTATTTTTTATGATTGCAAGTACATACCGTCTTATAAATGCATAGATTTTTGAAATCGCACGACATCCAATTCTTTATTAAGGATTACATTGTATACCAATATCAAAGTATACATCCATATCGCGCGCATATGTGATTGATTCAATCATTTTCGCGGTTTCCTCGTCAAGTTTTTCAAACTGCATCTTCAAACATCTAATGCCTAATATATTTCGTTCTAGATTAGTTTATCGATTGACCCATCTCTTCACCGCTTCCGCCCAATTGGACTCATTCTCATCTTCCTTCTCTCCGTCTGCCTCCTCTCGTTCACCTCTCTCCTGTTCCTGTTCGCTGGACAATGTGGCCGATGGTGTTTGCGGTATGTTTGCGTTGCGAGTTCGTAATTCCGTCAGAAAATCGTTTTCCTGTTGATAGCGCCGTTGCAATTCCTCGCGCCAAGAATTTCCACCGCCGCTACTATCGTCCCCGTCTTCGCCGGCTTCAAAGTCTATAAGTAGACAAGGATTATTTACAAATTTATTATTATACACAAACGCGCGAATCTTTTATTACAGTTGTGTCTCTCTTTCTTTCCGTATGTTTCAAATACTGCTTTATACGATACAGATAAAATAGCATATATATATATGTATATATATATATATATATATATATATATATGTGTGTGTGTGTGTGTGTGTGTGTGTGTGTGTGTGTGTGTGTGTGTGTGTGTGTGTGTGTGTGTGTGTACACATATATTTGCTGAATTTAATTTAATTTCCAACGAAAATAAGATTTGAATAAGGTTTAGTTATATGTAAAAAAAATCTGATATTTATGTACATTTAAACTTACAACTATAAATGAACAAGAGAGTAATCATTTATTAAAGTACATGTTTATATGGGAGGGATCTATATATTGTATAAGATGACTTATTTTAATTATTATCGTCAGAAATATACATCGCGCAAAGTGCCTGATGCTTATGACGATGAAAGAAATGTAAGATATGAATATGAATATATGTATAGTTTGATTTGCTAAATTAATAAGATAAAAGTATCAAGAAAAATTAAATAATATCAACGCATGAAAATCGTAGATAATCGACGCTTGAAGAGTTTCGGAATTATGTATTTCGATTAAAAAAGAGCGACATTGCTGAATATCTAAAATGCAAACAAAAAATTAAAATAATGAAAGAATCCAAGTCATGTAGAGATACTTACCTAATGGTTTTCTGATGTTCATTAGCCCGGAGTTGTGAGAAAGGTCCTCCTGATCTGAGTCTGCAAGGCACCAGGACACATTCACAGGGGGTGCATCACACACATTCCACAACACGTCTAAAGTGTCATTTGTCAATTGTCGCTATATTGTATAGTATAGGAATATCTATTTATGGATTCATTAACCAATTATAAAAAAAATATTATAATTATCATAAGAGTTCGTATATTTACTTTTAGTTTTTTATCTTCCTATTCGTTGTATACTCCGCTTTTTCACAAACTTCTGATAAATAGCAATTCTGATTTCCAAACTTTTTCTTTTAAAGACTTTGTCCCTTTGTAAAGATTATCAAGAATTTATTCGTCCAAAAACTGATAATTCTATCGAAATACCGTTGAAAAAGTAATAATTTCGGAATTGCAAATCAGATTATTATTTTACTTTGCTATTTGTAATCTGGCGTGTAGTGTAGTCCGTGTGCTATTCACTAGGCTAATATTGACTAACTCTATTCTAGAAAGAAAATAAATGAATACGAATAGAAATGGCAAACAGGCAAATATACAGACTATTTTTCAACTATTCGATCTAACTTTAGCACTTGACCTCATTGACAAAAATAATGAGAAAGGCTCGGATATATGATTTGCATCTAAAAAAAAACCACATTTATGGCATTTATTCATATAAATCTTTCTCATTATTTCCATTAGCAGAATCCAGCCAAGTTATATCGAATATTGTAGAAACAAGCTGTATAGAAGAGATGTACCCCAAAACTATCGTATTTTCTCTCTCTTTTTAAATTATTAAATATTAAATTTTGAATTAAGAAAAATTAAAAAAAGAAGCGTTAATTCTTGAAGACTGAGTCAACAATTTTAAGAAATATGTATGAATGAATTATATGTATAATTGATATATATAAATTTTAATGTAAATAGATAGTAAAATTTTGTAATGATTTTCACTCTTGCCAAAATAAAAAAAGAAGATAAAAATAGAAGAAAATATTTTATTAAAGATTTAGATACATTTTGTCAAATAACATTTATTTAAGTGAGAGAAAATTAAATAGTCTTGGGACTAGTAGATAATTTTTATATTTACATATTGAGAAATATAAAAAAAGAGATCTATGTTTATTATATATGTAATTTTTGTATATTTGATTTATATAATATATATAATATAACACATACAAAGTGTCTGAAAAATCGTCCGCAGTACTTTGGGAAGTGATTCGGAACCAAATTTTAAAATTTAAAAACTTAAATTTAAATTTTTAAATTTAAATTTTAAAAAAATTTAAAAAGGGATGCCAGTGGACTATAAATTACGATTTTTTTAATATAAAAATGGCTATAACTCGGAAATGACTTGTAATGTTTGTATAGTTTTGTTTTCTTTTTTTTGAGTCTCGAATTATTTGAGTTCCGTAAGTTGTGAGCGATTTTCCCCGGATACCCTATATATGTATGTATGATTTTATATATTTGAATTATTTTACGATTGAATAAAAGATGTATAAAAAAATCATTTTTTGTAATGCAAGAGGCACTGCGAAACTGAATTTAAAAGTCACTTATCTCGCCAAAAGTTTTATAATAAATAGAGCAATAGAGAGTAAATTCGCGTGTCGATCGCTGTTCATCTCTCTGTGACGATTGATTGTTATACTTACGCGACAATCTCCTCGAATACGAACATATGTATATACATAAATAAACAGGTGCATTCAAGTTTTCTTTAATTCAAAAAAATCTAACGAAATATCTTACGTGTAGATAGCATCTGTGCGGATGATTCAAAGATCATTTATGAATATCGAGACTAGAAATAGAGTAGCATTTTTCATGCTATATGATATGATTCCGAAATGAGAGAATATAAATGACATGGCATGCCTGTTTACATTTCAGCTCTGTGATGGTCAAAAATATTTTAACGATAGATATTAAGATGGAGAGAATAAATTCTGCATCGTATCATTTTTTGTAGTTTTAAATCGAGTCAAAGATATGTATAGTAAAAAATATATGTATTATACATACTGTGCAAGACGTTCCGATTTAAAAATTATACTTGCTTTTGGGCACGTTTATATTAATGACTATATAGAAAAAATTTCTTTTCAAACGATGTGTAAAATATGCAATAATTGATATGTACATTTATAATGTAGCAATAGTGAGAGTAATAAAAGAGTAGCAGGAATAAAAAATAGTAATAATAATAATAGATATATGGTTTTGTTATAAAATGCTACGCACGATAATACGGTGACTGCAAATCAGTTTATCTATTGCTCACCTCGCTTCCAATCGAACTATCGAAATCGATATAATTACGGCTCCGTTGACAAAATCACTCATTATCCGTATTACTAACATGCTATCAGCTAAACACGGCGATAGATGCTAACAGATACGTTGTAGCTAAGCTTGCAGTATCAAACTGATCTGTTTAATTCACGAGGCATCAACTATTATCTCTTAAATTACCTTCTGTCTGAGATAACGTAATACCTATATTTCTGCGATATTAATATGTCAACTAAGGATTTATTACACTGTGACGAAACAATAGATTCAGTAGTATTGTATATAATTATTTAAACTATAAGTACAATTGGACGTAGTTTTATCAATTAGACGGAATTCTTATCAGTGATACAAAATTAAATATATTTTTAGGTATTATTTAGATTATTACTATTTAGATACTATTTAAATTTGATAAAATTTTAGAAATAATTAAAAAAATTTCAATATACATTTTGTTTATTATTTAATTGTAATATATATTCTTTCTTATTATTTTCCTAATATAGCTAGATCGAGAAATATTTTTAAACCGAGTCTGCTTATCTACGTCCAATTCATTAATAGTTTCTGATACTAATTGATTTTATAGCGCATTATTATTTGACATACCTGAATTTAATTCCCTCACAAGCGTCGACATGGCATTAGTAACGCTGTCGGCAGCTACCAGTAAGTCATTTCTTAAGGATCGGCCCAAGCTATTATTGGCACTGCTGGAACCGCTTCCTGGTAAGCTGTTTGTCCTGAACGCAGACCTGACATCGAAAATCTCTATTTTCTTGGCGCGAAGCAATTTCCAAATGATAATTATTTTTTAAACAAATTGCAGCATGCAACTTTTATTGCGCAAGCGTTATCATTCCGTTTAATCATAATTCTTACACATTCAATTCACTACTCGCAATATCAAGACATACAAGCGGCATCTACAAAGTTTTAAATTAAAATTAGCAAATTATCGAGATTAATATATGATAATAATATATGATAATAATATACATGCACGATATCTCTCGGGAAGCTATATTTATTAGATTTTCTAATGTAACGAGATGCTAATAAAATATATCAATATGGCGAAATTGTACAGATATCGCAAATATGCTTTGTCTTTAAGTATTTGCCGCGCGTTTGATTGTTATACATTACTTGCAGGACAGTATATTTACATATCGCAACGCATGAGAAATACAAAATAACA